TAGCCTTTTCCCGAAAAAACTTCCCCTGCGTCCAGACTCAAGCCGCGTTCTTTCGAAATTATTTTGAAAGAACGCGGCTTTTCTTTCGATGGCGGTAAACCTCAATTTACGAGGAAGAACGCCTTCTTTCGAAAGTTCCTCTTTCGAAAGAAGGCGTTCTTCAATGTAAAGAGGCCGTCTTCGAAAGAGAGCATCCAGACTCGCTGGGTGCTCTCTTTCGAAAAAGCGGATTTCTCTTTCGAAAGATCCGCCTGCAGTCTAGACGCGATCTTTTGAAAGAGCCTCTTTCGAAAGAAGCCTGCAGTCTAGACATAGCCTAAGAGTGTCCCTCTGGTACTTGCTTGCTAGTCCTCAGCTCACACACAGCCTCTTCTTGTTCCATCCTTCTAGTCCATCACTCTTTTTCTCCCTGCCCCTTACCTGGGAGAAACCTTTTAAAGCCGCTTAACTGCCTTTAATTGGTTGTAGGTGTTTAATGACTTGGCTGAGGGAGCAAGCTAATTAACTAGCCCCAAGTGTTTGCCCATCTGCATTTCATGGCAGCAGACTTTAGGGCTGTGTCTACCCAACAGCTTGTGCAGGAAGAGACAATGAAAATGAAGTGCGGATTAGCATTTTCTCATGCTTCATTTGCATAATCTCTTCCATTCCATTTTTGCGCAATGGGTTTTTGCACATAAACTGAAGTGTGGACAGATCCATTTTGTGCAAAAACCCCTTTTTGCACAAGATCTTTATGCCTCCCCCGAGGTTTTTGCACAAAACGAACCTGTCCGCACTGCTTGTTTTTGCGCAAAAACCCCTTGCACAAAAATGGACCGAAAGAGATGGAATGGAAGAGATTATGCAAATGAAGCATGAGAATATGCTAATCTGCACTTCATTTGCATTGCCTCTACACTATGGCTTTTGCGGGAAGACAAAGCCTCGGAGTTTACTCTGAGAAGAGAAAACCACTTATCCAGTGCCCTGTATACCTGCCTTCCACCAGAGTGCAGCAGGCTGCTGGTTTGGGTCTGTCAGCATACATTTTCAGGGCCTCATTTGAAACCTTTCTAACTTTGTGTTCCCAAATTCTAGAACACATTTCAGATCCTTAGAACAAGATATTTCAAAACTGGATCCCTAAAGGAGGCACTAGAGGGAGCTGAGGGTGTTCAGTGCTTCTGAAAATGTGGCTGAATTTATTTAGGAGCCTCACCTTAGGGCCTTGCATCTGTAATTGTTGCCCTTTGTGTTCACTACAAGGAAAGGAAGGCTCAGCCTTTCTTCAAGTGAACCTAACCTAAAAGCTTCTTTCTTTAAAGAGGTTTTGCGAGGTGAAAGAGTTGTTAGAGCATCAAAGAAATCAAAGTTGTGAACAGAAAAAAAACTATTAAATCACCTTCAGACCAGTACAGAATTGTTCCCTGCACCTTATCCTCTGGTTCTTTTTCAAGTCTGATAATATTGTCTGATAATATTAATGTCAAGAAGAGAAGTTGGGTAACGTATGTGATGATATAGTGATGGAAGCCATATTTGACTGATTATTTTTAAATAGCACAAGGTCTTGTGCTTCCTCCTTTCCCTTTGGGGAACTATTCTGCATTGAAATATATCTTACTGTTAGGAAGCTTTTCATACAGCATACCTTAATTTTTCCTTTTCTAAAATTAATGCTATTATTTCTTGTTTTATACCCATATCTATTATGCTAAATAAGTCCTCAACCTTGTTGGTGTTTAAAAGCATTGCATTTTTTGAATATTGGCAGATTCTTGCACCATCACTACTTACTTAACTTTAATCTTTCCTCATAAAGACTTTGTAAAAAATTTTGGCTCTTCTCTGAGCTTTGTTTAATATACTTGTACCTTTCCTTAGAACTATTCCAGTCTTCTGTGTGTGGTGTTTTGTACCAGACTTTTAAGAGGAGGGCATTAACTTCTTATTTAGTCTGGGCAGGAGTGGTGAAAGCTCCCTAACAGTGGTGTGGTCACCAGTGTCAGAACCATGGTTACATCCCCTGCAACATCCCACAAAGCCCACTCCCATGCAATGCCCCTTCCTCTGGGCCTTCCCCTGCACACTGCCCCTTCCCTAGGGTGTGACTAGACTATGTCCCTCTTTCGACAGAGGGATGTAAATTAGGCACTTTGAAATTGCATATGAAGCCGGGATTTGAATTTCCCACACTTCATTTGCATAATCACATCACAAAGCTCTTTAGAAAAAGTGCTGTTTCGAAAGTAAAACCACAGTCTAGATGCAGTTCTTTCAAAAATGGAAGGCTTTTTCGAAAGACAGTGTAAACCTCAAAAACTGTGGTTTACAAGATCTTTTGAAAAAGGCTTCCATTTTTGAAAGAACCGCGTCTAGACTGTGGCTTTACTTTCAAAATAGCGCTTTTTCGACAGAGCACCATGACGCGATTATGCAAATGAAGCATGGGAAATTCAAATCCCAGCTTCATTTGCTATTTCTAAGTGCCTAATTTACATCCCTCTGTCGAAAGAGGGATGTAGTCTAGACATACACCTAAAGACTCTGTCCCCCACTTGCTCCTTTCTGCCCCCTTCTCCTTGTCGCTTGTCCTTATGGCAAGTAAAAAGTGATGGAGCCATGTCCCGCTTGCCCCTTCCTGTTCCAATACCATGACTCTAAGTGTTGCACCTACATATTCAACTCAAATTGCATTTTTCCACCTTTCTAATTTGCTATCCACTACATTATCACTCCTACATTTCTTTTAGCACTTCTGCTCTCTATGTTCATCCTTCCCATTCAAAATTAGTGGTAAATATTTATATTATAATAGCATCCAAAGGCCTAGCTCCCCATTGTGCTCAGTGAAGTATACAACCAGAAAAGTAACTATCCCAGACTTGTGTATTAGATTATTTCCCCCGGATTTAAAGTATATTTTCAAGGGGTTTTTTTGGGTTTCCCCGGATTTAAAGTATATTTTCAAGGGTTTTTTTGGGGTTTTTACGAAACTGAATCTTATTTCATTTCTCTATCCCCAAGAGGATATGCACTATTTGTCCTACTTAGCAGCAGTTGAGTAAGCCACTGCCTAGAAAGGCTACACTAATCTCCATTGCTAAAACTGTTTTAATGAGGAAAAAGTGCTATTTTTCATTGACTCAAATGGCACATTTCACAACACATTTTAATGGTCAATATACAGTTATGCCTTTTATAAAGTATTTGAGCTGATTCCATACCCACCTGAAGAAAAATAATATTTTCCATGGTACTTTTAGCTTGTTGGGTTTTACATTGAAAAATTCTGGGAATCAAAAGCTAGTTTGAGTATAAACTGTTTAAAAACTTTTAATCAAATTAATTTAAACAAATATCCCAGAGTTTGTATTGAAATAAAGCTTTTGTTCAGTTAAGATCATTGAGCTATAACTGGCTGTCTACATGCAAATTATATGATTTGATTCCGCTACATATTTCATTAAGCAATGCAATACAATAACAAAAGGAATATTCAGCACTTGTATTGAGAATTGGCACACAGACAACCAAATGTAATGTTTGCCAGTTCTGGGAAACATTATGTAGTAACCTACCAAAACTGAATTATATTTTCTGTCCAATTTAGCTGATTTCTAGAATTTCTCAAATGTAGATTCCAAGTAAGTAATTGTTACAGTAAATAAAAAAACTGGCAGACAATTTGATTGTCATCTTTGCTCCAAATATTTTGTTTTTAACTGCAAATGCTCATTTCAATATTTTTAATTAAGTAAGGGATGACTGAAAATAAAATAGTTTTTTGCATAAATTATCAACATTGTAGTATGAATATCATGTTTTCAGATAGGATGCACTGATATAAATTGCTATGAAGATTAATTCTAGGGATTCAGATCTCTAGAGTCAAGCATTAATCATGGCTGTGTATAGTTTCTCACTGATGAAGGAAGATGGTTCTAAGGCCAGCAATGCAACCAATCGGTAAACCTATACCTATCATTTTAAGCATTTGAGTAGCCAGATTTGAAGTCTATAGACATGTACCTAAATATCTTGCTGGCACAGACCTATTAACACAATATACACCTTATTTGCAGTACATCCTTGATTAGCCTAATGTTATAGGAGACCGTGAATAAGCTTGAACAACCAAGGGAATAGTTTAACTATAATTATTGTACAATATAGCAATTGGATGCATGGCTCTGTTTGACAGCAGGGAAATACAGAAAATGGTTTCATTATTGTATTTGGTTAGTTACATAAAATGTCTAAGGTGCTGAAAAACACATCCCAGCAAACAAGTTAACAAAAAGAAAGAAGTAAAAATGTCTTGTTTGGCTTATTCAATATCTTTAGCTATATATTAATCAGCTTAATACATCACGTGTACAATATATTGCCATGCTATTGAAGATGAATGACAACCACGGGGCATCTTGTAAATGTACTACGAGCAGAAACATAGATTACATCTCACACCAACATTCAGAGGACAAGCTGGTCACTTGGAAAAGTGACTCAACGGGAAAGGGATTGCCATTCTGTCTTCACTGGCCCCAAATAATCTCTCGTATTTCACCTCCAGAATCTGTAGCAGTTATTTGAACACAGGAAGGGATTTTGGGGGGGAGGAAGAAGCAATTATATCTTTTTCTAAAATATGTTATTAAAATTATATTTTGTCTAAAGTATTTCTTAACTGTATACTTCTCTAAAAGTCCCCCATTACAGAAAGGATGTGAATACATTGGAGAGGGTCCAAAGGAGGGCAATGAAAATGATTAGGGGACTGGAGCACATGACCTATGAGGAGAGACTGAGGGATTTGGACTTATTGAGTCTGCAGAAGAGAAGTGTGAGGGGGGATTTAATGATAGCCTTCATCTACTTGAAGGAAGATTTCAAAGAGGATGGAGAGAGGCTGTTCTCAGTAGTGACAGATGGCAGAATGAGGAGCAATGATCTCAAGTTACAGTAGGGGATGTTAGGTTGGATATTAGAAAAAAACTATTTTACTAGGAGGATGGTGAAGCACTGGAATGGGTTACGCAGAGAGGTCATAGAATCTCCAGTCACGGCTTGACCAAGCCCTGGAATGATTTAGTTGGAGTTGGTCCTGCATTGGGTAGGTGGTGGGACTCAATGACCTCCTGAGGTCTCTTCCAGCCCTATGATTCAATGATATCTGTTTGGTAAGTGCTATTTGCTTTCAGTTAGTATGTTTTATTGTTGGTAAAACTCTAATTTTACCATTTAATGTCCTAGTATTAAGCCTCCAATTTATTTCCTGTATAAAATTTCATTGAATGGGATTTCTTTTAGCATCTTCCATTGACTTTGAAAGATTAAGGACAGTTGAAATCCTCTAAAGTGTGAGAGCAGTCCTATCTGAAAACAGATTTTAAAAACCCACATATATACATATTGTACAAAATTAACTTGCGTTTTCCTCATGCCACCATTTCAACTTGATTGTAGTTTGCAGTTAGCTAATTAAATTCCTTTTGAAGTTCAGAAATACATGGAATTTGTCCATGGTGTGAAAATTTAGTAGGTTCACTTAGATATTACAGTAGTAGCACCTTCACTTGACAATAGTTTCACTTCTTTAAAAAATTGAAAATTCAAATGTAGGACTGAAATAAGTAGCTCCTTTGTAGGTTATCCTTTTTGACTCCTCTTGGCTATACAATTTCCACTCTGATTTTCAGGTTTTTCAGACCATACGAAGAATATGTGGGGTGGGAATGCAGTGAGAAAGTGTGGGGGGGGGAAGCCCTTTAATCCATGTCATATCATTTTATGCAGTATTAAAAAGCAGGGCTTTCACAGGAGTGAGTAAAGAAGTCAGGGAGACAGGAACTCTAGCCTACAAAAATTATATCCAACCCAAAGAGTCTCAGCTTTTTGACTTGCCACAATACTGTGATTTGTCAAATTACCCAGTTAGTGTTCTCAGTTTGATGAAAAATCTTGTAACTTCAGGATTTCAGTTAAGGTACCAAACCAATTTTAGGTTTTTAATAAAGAATCTGTCCTGTCTAGCTGGCTGTGGGGATGGATTTTGATGGAACATTGTCTGGACCATAGTTTGCTGTTTGAACATCCATATTGGGATCATTCATCTCTGAGACAGTAGAAATCTGATTGGCTTTACCAAGGTTCTTAATGATGCTAAAATTGTATTTGGCTGTTTCTACAAAGCTGTTCTCCAGTAACCAGCCATCTGACTCACACTCTGGATCACCCAACAGGAGAACATTCTTCATTGCTGTTTGCAGGTAACGGACCCCAATAAGTACAGAAATCTGTAAGAAAAGGATAATCATTAACTACAATAGTTAACTATAGTATGCATATTACAACTTGAATTCCACTGGTGACAACTGGCTGTGTCCTTTAGACATTGGTATGATTATTAGCATTGAGTATAACTGTCAAGATCAGCAACAGATCTAACAAGTCTCCTGAAAGTTTTAGAGAGAATGGTACCATAGACAGTTTTATGAGAACTCGCTTCTTCAGTTAGAATTCTCATTATAGCAAAGGATAGAAATACAACTACTTTTGAGTACTTCAGACAGCAGAGCTACCATTACTTACTGGAACCATTAGGTATGAGGGGTGAAATCTTGACCCAAATGAAGTAAATGCATTGAGTGGATAATGAGCAATTAGACCTAGTGATTGGAGCTGAGTCATACCTAGCAGAAGGCAGAGGAGGAGGAACCTAGAGGAGGTCAGGACAGCAGGAAGTGGGAATGGGGAAGAGTTGGGGATAGGAAAAAAGGAACTAGGAGCAGATAGGGAAGTAAGGAATGAGAGTAAGAAGGAATTTAGGAATCAGCTAAGCAGAGGGGTCCATAGTAGCAGCCATTAGGGTTCAATGGTTCTCAACTTATTTACCATTGTGGGCCCTCCATGGCAGGAGTGGGGCCTAAGGTGTCTGGTTACAAGCAATTAGAAGGGCGGCAATCCTATGATTAGACGATAAGTGGATTTCAGGATGAGAGCCTTTGTTCTAGTTGCTTGGTCAACTTCCTGTTGTTACTTCCTGGTTTATATAGAGTACATTGGCCAATTAAGGGGCTATATGTTCCCCCAGCCAAGAACTTTGGGGGCAAGGCCCTCTATCAATTAATGTTTTCTTCACTGGATCTTTCCTAATTACTCATGAACAGCTGGAAAGCAGTTGTAACCTGGGCCCTACCGGGAGACCCAGAAGCCTGGATTTGAGACCGGTGATCCCTTACAGTTAATGGGAATTATGCCATGCACTTCAATGGAGCCTCCATTTTACTCAATTAGTTTTCAGGATTTAGTCCTGTACCTATCTTTCAATGTAGGATTTGAGAGACGATAGCCTACAGTATAGGCTGAACGCTAATCTTAGGGGGGAAATGTTTTTCACTCCCATAGAACAATGACAACCTGGAGGCTATTTTTCCTAGAGGATTCCTGAGTCTGAATTTTTCAAAAGTGTCTAACAGCCCGTTGGCATAGATATGATGTCTATAAATAGCAAATCCATAAGAATGGCCATACTGGTCCAGACCAACAGTCCATCTAGTCCAGTATCCTGTCTGCCAACAGTGGTCATTGTCAGATGCCCTAGAGGGAGGGAACACAACAGGTAATCCTCATGTGATCTCTCCCCTGTCACTCATTTCCAGACAAACAGAGGCTAGGGAGCCCATTCCTACCCATCCTGGCTAATAGCCTGGCTAATTGTGAATGCTGGTTTGGCAGGAAGATCAGTGCTGATGATTTCCACTACCTTTAAAATGCATAGTGAAATTCACAAAGAGGCAGTTCCTTACCCAGAACATAAATGCTTATTATGTGATTGCATTTAAATGAAAATGCAAGGAACTGTCTTATCTGAAAATAGTTACTATGTTATGTGTAAAACTAAATGTTTAGTGCCTGTACATTAAAGTAACAATCAAAAAATCAAACTAATATTAAAGATATGGAAACTGCTTTTTAATCTCTGCCACTGGGCTCCTCTGAATGTGGGTCAAAACTTCCAATCAGCTTTCTCTGCAGCCCACCAATAGCATTAATGTATTTTTGTAGATGCAAATGCTTTGTCTACATGCTTGCAGAGTTGAAGGCTGCAGGTGAACATATGTTCAATGATGGTATTTTCCAGATGTAGGGTAATGCCCAGCAGGGTGCACTGAGAACTGATATTAATCCAACCCTTTATTCATAGATCAAATTAACAGCTTGTCTTAGTCCCCATCTTTTTCTCTTAGTTCTTAAAATTGACTTTTTGAAGCCATTGTTTTCTCCTTTCCCATCTATAATCCTAACACTTCCCTCATCCAATCCAGTGTTTTGTCCTGTTTGTCTTAGATTGCAAACTCTTTGTGGAAAGGAACATGTCTTAAATTTACAGTGCTATACATATAGTTTCTTGTAGTTCTACTTTTCAGTGAGATTTGCTTCTCCCCTTGTAGACTCAGAGAAAGCTGCCTCTACTCAAGAAAGTGATTAAAAAGTTGTATTGGAGACATTAGCTGACCAAGTCACTGGATGATTACAGATAGGCCTCTCTCACATTGCGCTCTACTAGAGGTCATGCAGCCTGGAAATGGTCACCTTCCAGTTCTGCTATAGGATCTCTCTCAATCCATCTTCTCAAGCCTTACCTCAAACAACCAGATGATAAGCACTGTGAGACCAATGGACCACATAATATCAGTGTAGTAATCCAGCAGGGCCTGCCTGCACCCCTTCATCCAGAGATTGAGCTCCTCTGTCAGAAAATCATAGTTATAGTGAGCGGTGCTATTTGTAAGCTGGTATTGGATACAAGGACGTGGTGAATTTGGATTACAGCAGCTGAAGGGCACTCCATCCACCAAGAACTTCCCATCAACATTACTTTTCAGACGGCTGAAACAAGATGGAAAGTAAAGGCATTATAGAGCTAGTAGCCACAGCAATAGAGAAAATGGCAATTTCTGCCACTGTTGGTAAGAAGCTATGTCCTAACTCTGGATAGCTGCAGACCTTTTAAAGGTGGAGTAGGGAAAATTAGAAAGGATTCCTCAATTATGATTCTGTTTACTCTGGAAAGGAGAAATTACCCTTCAGGTAAAGTGGTTCCTGAAGTGTAGCATCAGTTCTATGTTGAATATGAAAAGCTGTGTCCTGTATTTTCAGGGGGATGCATTCAGTGATATGGAAAACAGGGATAGCACTGAGAATATTAAATAAAGCAAAAACTATCATTTGGTTTTCTTGGTGAAATTCTAATTCTGGACACAGCATTATAATGCTGTGTTTTTCTAGCATCTCTGCTTCTCTGCTGTTTTTTGTAATGTAAGAATATCTACAAAATCAGCTAATACATGAACAAACGTGGGCCACAGTAACCATGAAAAATTGCTTACTGACTGTTGAACATTGTGGCCATCTGACATGGCTGTATGACATGTATTCCATGAGTATGTACTATACATGAACGTCCCCTCTCTTTATTGCTAGTGGCCTTATTAGAAATACTGAAGTTGCTTTTTTAACATCCTATCAAAATTTAATCTGTCACTGAGGTACCACTAAATTTCAGGGAGATGACCTGCCAGATTGACTACAGGACTGAGGTAAGGATGAACTCCTCCATCTTGTATAGTCTCTACTTTAATTTTGCTACTCTGATTCTCTGGGCTATTCTACTCCTGCTAATGGCAGCAGAATGAAACTGAGATAAAGGAACCTAACTAGTCAAGTGCCTGAAAGTGTATGGCATATAATTAGTGTAAATGTCATAGAGCAACAAATTGGCAGAAGAACAGAAAGGTGAACCAGAGAGACACGGAAGTGAGACTGGGAAAGAAAATGAAGTGGAAGGGAAGGAGACGGTGAAGAGATTAAATAGTGAAGATAATTCCTACATTGGCCTGTAATTCCCTTTTATCATGATTCTCACTCCAATGGCCCCCACTTTCTCTAAAACCATAGAATAATGGCCCCTGCATCTCAATTACATGACTACATTAGCTACATGGTGATGGTTAAAACTCACTCATTTTCTGGGGCCCTACGCATTTTTATTCACAGCCATTGTTTTTGTTTGTTTTGTTTTGTTTATTTCTTTGTTGCTCACTCCAAGTAGCTGTGTTGGGAAGGGTACTCTTTTTCTAATATCTGTAACAAAAGGTTCAAAAATGGATGGGTGTCTCCCCATGGCTATAGTATTTCCCTCAGTGATTGCAAATAGTAAACTCTGACAGGTAATGTTGGAATTTGCTACTGCTGTATCAATGCCGGAAATGTTATGGGTAAGAAGAATGGGCAATTGGGAGAGACATTCATTAGAATTTACTATCTTAATTCAGTGTAATCAAATTCCATGGATTCTTGCAGCTGGCATTTTTATGGAGAACAAAAATGGATAGATAACCCTATTTACTTTTACACTCTAATGATGTGCTTGTAATTAACCAATCAGTCACATGATCTTGATGCTAGAGCCTTTGTTCTCATTCTATAGCTTATAGTGTTTACCATTTCTTGTCCTAGTGTGGTTTAATTTAGACTGGAAACTCTACAGGGCAGGAACATTGTTTTGTCTACACCATGCATTCATGGTGCAGTAGATGCAAATATTTTCTTGTTGAGATGTCACAGAACAACATTGTTTCTGCAGGACTGACATGAGTGACAAAGCAATACATTTTACCTTTATCTCAAAAGGTTAACTGATATTGTTTGGGGTTCCCATGTAGAGTGAATCTGCTGAGTACAACAGTTATATCACTTTTCAAAATAAAACTGTGTTTTAAAACACCTCTTTTGTCAATACTTCTACTATCCTTCTCCTAAGGAGTTACTGTAAGCCTTATCTTATTTACATGATAAACTACTCTGAGCAGGAACAGTATCTTATCTATGCTCTCTAAAGATATTAGTAAACTTGCAGCACTATGTAAATATTTAGTAGTAATAACTGTAATTTCAATTTCCAAGCTTTATGCAAACTGAATCTTTGGTTTCACATCACCTGAGTTAGTGCTCACTGAATCTTGAGTTCAGCCATAGCTAAAAGCTCACTCCAATCCAACTGAAGTGTGTTGTTTTTTCTAGCTTCATATTGAAATTAACAAAATTGTGAGTTTTTGAATGGTTTTTACATCAACCTGTCAATCAATCCAGACTCGTTAAGACCTTGGGCTGAGGTTTTCTTGAGAGGTTTTCAAAACTTTTTGACAAACTTGGCCCACATCAGAGCTTGATATGAATGCTGAAAGCAGGTAGGTTTCAATAAAATTTGCACAGCCTTACCTAACTCTTCTAATTTTTTTTCATCAGAGTTCTTTCCCCATCAATCATTGAGATCTCTCAACACACTTCGTTTTTCCTGCTGCTTACATGGTAAAGAAAAACTGCAAATAATATTCACTTGCTTGATCCAGTGACAAACAACTTACTAATTTATTTCTTTGAAGTGTCATAAAATAGTTAAATATACATAATAAAACAGGAAGCAGGCAAAGTATCAGCTTTATGACTTGTAAAAAGACAGGAAGATCAGAAACGCAGATTTTCTAAACTTCAGGGAAATTAGATGGGGAAGGGAAAAGATAAAATTTCTTGTGTTTAGCTGCAGTTCTGATTTTTCTGTCTTTATACATGTTATCAAGCTTCATTTCCTGTTGCAATTATGATTAATATGGTCAGCCTTTAGGGGTTACACAGCTGCCCAACTCTCCTCAGTGAACATTTTTAAAAACGTTTTTTAAGAATTATTACATACTACTTTATCCACTGCTTTTTTAACATTCTGATTGTTATTTTTATGGTATCTAAATAAATATGATTGTAGTATTTTAAGTGAATTACTTCATTCTTTGTTTTTCATAGGAAACTAGCACCAACACACATCACTTTTCTCTTGAGATTTGGACTCGTCCTTTCATGTGGTGCAGATGTTGATTGTGATTTCATTAACTCTCCAGAATGGAAACACACTTAGCCCAAAACATAGATTTGTAAAGTTGTGTATGTGAAGGAAGAGCTTTCAATTTTTTTAAAATGCAGTTTAGGTTGACCAAACAATCAAAAACTCACTAGCAAAATGCTGTGATTGGTTTTCAGCGTAGCTGACTTGTCACCTTACAAAAGGTGTGAACATTTCAGTGCATTGCGTAATATACATAACATGCATTTTTTTAAAAGCAATTTATATAATCTGTGTAGTTAACACATTTTATAGGTAGAATGTCATTCCAGATTTGACTCTACATACCTTATTCAAAGACAGAGTCAAGTGGACTTAGAGCTTGCTTCTGTTCCTTTTATTTATTTATTTATTTATTTATTTATTTATTTATTTATTTATAAAAAAAACCCTCTGTGACTTAAATGTGAGCAAGATGGTGCCCTTAAGTGCTACCAGATTACACCTATCTTCATCTTTGGTCGTAAGGTGACCATATGGCCTAAACAAAGTGCTGTTACTGTCATTGTCTACATGGCTGATACCATCAGATGCATTACTCAAGCGCTGCACATGTTGTGTGATGGCTCTGTGTTGATCTAATCACAGTAGTACTTTCTTTCATTGAGCTGGACACATCACCAGAATTGATCAATGTGGTTTTTGGAAGAAAATCTTCCTGAACTCACCCCCAAAATGTCATTTTCAGAAGAGAATCCAAACACAACTAGAGTTTGCTTTTCAAGTGCAGGAGCAACAGCCAGCTTTGTTCTTCTTCCCCCAGCCTTCAGTTCTTATCCTCATATATTGTCTCTCTAATGTGCCTCTACCTTTTACTCAATGCAAACTCTTCCTGACGGGGGGGAGAGGGTGAAGGGATTTATTCCCTCCAAAACTTTACATCATGACCAATTAATACTTACTCCAAAACCTCTTTGGAGGCCATATTAAGATAACGAACGGATATCCACTGAATTTCAAACCAGTCTCTGAAGCCGTTGTTTCCACAGCACTGGAATCCAATTTGTAATAGGTCTATGGTTTTCTTTAAGAAGCACCGTCCAGGGATGTCTGTATCCTTATAGAATTTAATAGCATCTCTCAATCCTAGATATAGAGATTCCTCCAGCTCGTTCCTCATGGTGTAGCACATGATAGCACCCACCAGGATGCAGAAAGTGAAGCAGAAAGTGCACACAATGTAAGGGAGCATGACTAGCCTCCATCGTGAGAATTTGTTGGTGTCTGAACAGTCATAGCAGATTTTCCCACCAAGAAAGTTGATGATGCAAGCTATGACCCCTACTGAGATGAGCATATTGGGGACAGAGTTAATCTCCCCTTTTGCCATCACCTCATTGCGTTTCTTGATTTCTATTTTCAGAAAGAGGCCTAGGCTGAAGAGAATGACACCAGTCACTACAGAAACCCAGTTGAGGATCCAGAGGATCTGAGCCAATTTGTCTCTCTTAGTTTTTGTTAATTTTATTTTAAGGACCGCCATGGTCAGATCAGCCTTGGAAAAAGAAGCTTAGGTCAGGGGAAGCTCATAAGCAGATTAATAGCATGTATCTAGAGTGACGAAGGCATGCTGTAGAATCCTGTGAAGGAAAAGAAGAAAGATTACTGTCTGTTCTCTATTGTATATTTATATAACATGCGCATGGAACTTTCTGTACACTCTCAAGCTCTATTGGAGATCTGCCAGGAGCACTCAATTCCTGCTTGAATCTCCTGCAAGAAGGAAGATTTTAGAAAGAGATAATTCTAGGGAGAGATTAGGAAACACTTAAAACAAAAAACACTATTCCAGTATCCCAGCAAGAATTTTCACTGATTGGGGAGGGCTCATTTAATGTAGTGGAAATATTTTGTATGCACAGACCTGGAATACTGTGGTCAGTTCCAATCACCCTCTCTAAATGAGTTTAGAATAGAATCAGAAAGGGTTTAAAGACTGGCAACAAAGATTACTTTAGTGCAGCAGCCAATGAACTTGTGCTCTTTTGTTAAAATACCACTTACACTGCTGTATTTCTAAGAAATATGGACTACTCTTCTCTCACTCTTTGGAATATCTACAAAATTTTATTTGTAGAGTACAAAAAGCTGAAAATCTACCTCTTTTCCCACAAGTTTTTTTTTAACTTGATTGGACATAAAAACTCTGCTTCCACAATCTGAAAAAAAAATCCTGTCACATAGAAAGAATAAAAAAATAAACTAAAAATGAAGCCAAATAATTTGATACCCTAGTCTTTTATCTTTCTGATTGCCTCTTTTCTACATTTAAAGGTAATTATTAAAATTGAGTGTGTGGAATAGTGCAGTATATTAGTTGTCTATCATATCTTCTCACAGTCACCATACTATCGTTTCCTTAGGTATTTTTTGAACAAGTCCTCGACCTTCCTGTCAAAGACCTACTTAACATTTTTGCCATCTCACAGCCCTTGAGAGGGGCTTCCTTCTGGCAAAAGAAGAGTGGAACAGTTGATCTTATTAGTCACCAGAGGTTGATGTTTTAACCAATGTACGAAGCTCACTAGCTGCTTGATACCCTATATCTTGTCTGTACCACTTTCTTACTTTTGATCCATTATTTTCCCTTTTTTACCAACCTCCATTGTCATCTTTAAATTCTATGTACATTAAATTTAATCTTTTGCATGAAACTGAAAATGAAGGCCCTACTCACTTGTCATCACATATTCCATTATATTTTTTCCAAGAGCAGGATTTTTATAATCCCAGTGTCATAGCCAGATTTAAACTAGGTAATTACATTCCTTTTGTCTCACCCAGTAGATTCATTTAGATAAAGAATTCTTCATTTCTCTTCCCAGGCTGTTGTACAGTAGTGGTGTTAAACAGCTGCAGCGGTACAGAAGCAGTTTGACTGAAATGGAGTCTGGATCTTCCATGAATTCAGCACTGCAACCTATATTCTAACTTTCACCATCTCTTTCTCCTGCCGCCCAGTTTCCTACTTCATGTAACAATTTTCTTTTTAGTTAGTCCCTCCTCCTCCTCCTTCCCATCCATCTTGCTGGCTTGCCACTCTTTTGAATTAACTGCTGGTAGTGTGGGAATTGCTTGGAACTGCAAGGCCTATAGCTGATGCCAGCCTTGTGTTTGCTGGCAGGTGTGAGCCTGCCTCTTCAGCTATTGCCACCTGCTGGGGGTTCCTGCAGCAGTGTCCACACTTGTCACAACTGCTACTATTACTTCAATCTGCTAGAGATCCCTTGCTCCTATATTTCATGGTGCATCCCAAGATTTTGAACTCAGAGCTACGCAGTATCAGTGTCTGATCCAATTTAAGGTTTTCTTATCCAACAAAGCCTTTCATTTCCTAGGCCCAGAATGTCTCTTCCTTTGCACCTTTCTCCTAATGTATTTGTTGAAAACAGCAACTAAATTGAGCATGCTTGGTACAAAAGTTGCTGGAATCAAAAAACAGGATTTCTTCATGAAGGATACATATCTCCGAAACTCTGCTGTAGCAGGTAAAAATCAGCTCCCGTTTTATACCTTTAGAGCACAAGAATCCTCTGTTTGCATTAGGCTTTCCTTTGTAGAGGTGATAACATTGAACTCTCTTTTTTTTTCCTCCCCACCTGCAAAATAATTCCTTCCTGAGGCCTGGTCTACACACAGTTTTTGAACTGATTTAACTATTTTGGTTAGGGGTGAAATTTGACTTCAAATGGAGTGGGAGATCACGCTTCCTTCAATCCATTCTCCACTAATGCACCTCAACACTGTTCTGATGAGATTGTCTTTGCAGGTGAGTGGATAGTTTAGCCTCTGTATGAGCTGAGTACTGGGCTTGTCTGCTAAGACAGACAACAGTAGCTTTGGCTGTTTCACCGATTAAGATGTTCATGACCTGAACCTAAATAGCCGTACACAGCTGCTGCAAATGGGTTTATCTCACAGTGATACTCAGATCTTTCAAACATAACCTCAAAGAGAATCTGTTTTTAAATCTCTTCACCATTGACATGCAGTGCGCATTCAAGGGCCAGGCTATTTTAATGCATCACCATTGCTTTCTATGAAATGTGAAAAGGCACTTACATCAGGCCACACAGGTGCCTCTTTGCTGGCTGTATGTAGTGTATGTCTCAACACTGAATAGATAACTTAAAAAAATCTACATGTATATTTTCACATACAGTATTTCACCTTTCCCTTCACCTTCATCCATTTCAGTTGAGCTGCATGGCTCAGGGTGAAATAATTGACCCAAAGTATGTGCTGCTATTATATTTCACCAGCCATAGATAAACTCTGGTTGAAATTCAGTGCAGAGACCACTAGAGGCCCCTGTAGTGGGGTGACTTTAAAATTCTGTCTCTAATCTCACATCACTTAATTCCCTCTTTTTCACCTCTTGAGGTTGTTTACAATAATTCCATGAAATTTTCCTATTTAGAAGTGACTCTATTTTTTAATTATCTCCCTATAAAGTATTCCCAGTATTTCTAGTGCAGTTCTGATTTTAGCTGAAGGGTTCAATTCACTGCATTTCCACTTACAAATGCCAGTGAAACCCATGTTGCAGACTCCTAGCAACAGAATGTCTGCCAGGAGTGAGGCTCCTGTGTGAGTTACACTGTTCTGGAAAGGGGAAAGAGCCATGGAAGAGTGCCAAGGGCTCTGTGCAACTTCTTTTCTCCACAAGTGTTCTCAAATATGTAGAACTTTACCACAAATCTTGTGCATATTTCTGGGAGTGTTGAGGCTCTGACTTCACCTACTCTGTAGTTTGGGAGCAGCTCTCCCATCCATACCTGATCTGTAGGAAACTTCAAACTGAATGTCAGTTTTTGACACTTTGAGGTTATTTATCATGTAGGAACAAACTATTCCCATGTTAGTAATTTATTAAATTCATTAGTGGGATAAACTTTTAAATGAGGTGATGCTTTCCTAGCATTCCCCCTCTACTATAATAATTTGGGTAAACATTTTACTGGCAAACTGTCACCAACAGTTCAATTAAATGGTGCATGCAGGCAACCCATCTCCTCTCTGTGCTGTTTGTTTGAAAACTGGACTGGCCCCTTAAACGCCATTCATCTGAAGAAGTGGGTTGTGCCCACAAAAGCTCATGATACCATCTACATTTTTTGTTTGTCTCTAAGGTGCTGCAAGACTATTTGTTGTCTAAGTTTTTCCTGTTACAGACTAACACGACTACCCCTCTACAACATTTAAGTATGGTTATGGTGTAAACATACTACAAAATTATATTGTCTTAAAATTCAGCATTAGTTCCGATGGGTTTTCAAGTTACATCTGCAAATTTTACTGCAATAAATCAGCTTTTATTCCTCTTCGTGATCCAGAACCTACACAACTGTCTAGACTATGAAGACATACTTCACCATTACAACTATTGAAAAGGAAACCACTCACCTTTTTCAGACCATTGGAGACTATCTCAGATCTGGCACTGTCCTGATAAAGGGCAAACGGGTATAACGTGTCACTGGATCATGCATCTTGAGGAAGAATCAGGCACCAATATCCAAGCATCTAAAAATCTTTACACAGCACTTACCAAGGGAGGAGGGAAAGACTTCAACTCTTCAGCCGACACTAATCCCTGCTGCATTCCTAATCATGGCTGAGAGATTTATTGCAGGGTTCTTATGCCACCAGGTTAAATCCTGCAAAACAGGCCACTTAACCAAATGCAATCTGAGACCTCTGTGACATACTATGCTTATGGTAACTTCTTTAGGAAGTCAACAATTACTATTGCTCCTTCACAGAGAGTATCCTGCTTTATTCATCATCTCCTAAAACTCTCCTACCTACACATTCTCTCTCTCTCTCTCTCTCTCTCTCTCTCTCTCTCTCTCTCAAGTATAAATATGCCCCAACCCTAAAAGGCTAGAGCACTATTTCTCAACCTTTTTTTATAAAGTACCTCATTAAAAATAAAATCAAGTACCCCCAGCCTCCTGCTCTAACCCAATGCACCCACTCCTCCCCCAGAGCCAGGCACCCCCAGCCCTCCCACTTTAACACAATGCCCTTCCTCTTCCCCAGAGCCAGGCACCGAATGTATAATAACCCTACTTTTGAAGTGCCTGCTCCCGCCGCCCAGCCTGGCCTCGGCACCTTGTCTGCAGGAGCAAGGGGCCTGCCAGTGCCAGGCTCACCATGTGGGGCTGTGCACTCCCACCTCAGCCCAGCACCCTCCTAGCGTGGCACCCGGGGGTAGCTGCCCCCCCTCACTATGCCACCGATGTCGGGGAGGGGTGGTATTTGGAGCAAAGCTTATTGTGCCGCATCACTGCCTTTTAGCTCCCCTCCACAGCACCATGGAGAAAGGGCGATGGGGATGCATTGTACTGAGCTGCTGGCGGGGGTAGGGGTAATGTGCATCTCCAGGTTCAGACGCCTTCCCTGTTGGAGCACCCCAGGCAGGCTGCTAGAGAGAAAACTAAAAGCCGGAAAAAAGCGGCGGACATTTTTATTTAAGATGAGGTGGTTGTGGAAATTATTTTTTTTCTCCCCATCCAAACCCGTCCCCCAACTTGGAACTGCTCTGAGTCTCATCGGAGCCATTGCCACCGCAACCATGTGCTTTTCCCACTAGGGCTGGGGAGCATGCGCACAGCTGCTGTTAACATTTGGGCACGCAGCTTCAAACATTCAATCTTACAGGCACATGCCATCGCCCCCTCCCTGATCCCCTTTGCAGGGCAAAATCCTAGATATTTTTTGCCAAATTTCACTTTTGTTGATGTACCCTCCAGACTTTTCTCGCGTACCCCTAAGTGTATGTATACCACTGGTTGAGAAACACTGGGCTAGAGTAATGGAAGTCTCAGCTCTTTCTAGAGTGGAATGTCAACTCAGGCCTGCCTTAGGTACGTGAATTATAAATTTACTTACCCATAGTTCCACATGTGGTATTTTGTTGTGTTAGCTGGAATTTGTCTAAGTTTCAAATATATACAATTTTGTACAGCAACTGTAAACATGAAAGGCGTAGGAATTGAACAGGACATACCCTGGGGTGAGTAGGTCACCCTGACTATACGAGTAGTGGATTTTGGTTTGGAAATGGTATTCAAATTCAACAGGAAATATGCACAGAGGGTTTTGTCCCAGAGACGGGGAGAAGCATACCAAATAGGTGAGACTTTGTCTAAGGATCCTGTTTTGTTCTGAGTACTCTATCTGGAGCTTTTGAATTCTGCATGCAGTGATTCATTGCGATTGTACCAGACATGACCATGCTGAGCTGTCAGCGCTGGTGACAGAGAACTAACTTCACCGCAGGACTTGAGCAGACTGGTAGAGGTGATGCAGAGCTGACGTTATAATAAGCCTGACTGGACTGGTGACAGCAACAGTACCACAGCAGATGTCACAGAAGTCAACCACTGCTACACGTTAGAGTGCGACCTGCAGACATCTATGGCCTGGAACAGACCAGCAGAAGAGATGATTGCCATGACACCCTGCTGAGTACCACCAAGTCTAATTGGACCCTAGGGTGGAGATTACTATTGTCATAAAGATTTCTGGAGTAGCGCAAGCCAGACAATTCATACTTGAAATTCTGGGGTTGACCTTACTCCTGATATGCGGACGGAGTTTTCCTCTTGTTATGTGTAAATATATATATATATGTATGTTGTGGTTTATTTTCTTTTGTTTTTCCTTCTTTCCCAAATGAGGTATTTAATGTTCCATATCCCAGAGGAATTCAGAGTGGTTACGAATGGGGAAAAAATACCTAGAAAGGTGACCAGGGAGTTTATCCAAAGGCAGAAATAGGATTTCATCTGTGTGTTGGGACTTGAAGCCATTGTTTAATTATTTTATAAAAGGATCCCTAGGCAGGTTAAACCTGGCCTTTGTTTCTCCCATTGGCCCATGGCAGAAGAGTTACACAGATAATTTCCTTACAAAAAATTTCTCTCACTTTATATATAAGCTTGTTCAAGTGTGTTTCTGCACAAAGCAAACACTAACAGCCAGGAACCATAAGTTAAGACAACAGTCACATCCAACACTCTACAAATTCCCCAGTATTCACCTCCTGCTACTGTGACACTTATCACACCAACACTCTAAGACCCTCTGTAAAATATTCAGTTCCAAAGTATTATCACCGTTGGTGCATTCTTCAAACTGCAAAGTACAACATTGAGAGAAACTGAAGCACAGAACAGGTTAAGGACAAAAGAAGTTAAAGTATCCACTAATTTTGGGTGCTTGCCTCCTAGACCCTTAAGACCCATCTTTTAAAGGTGCTGAGGATCTGCATCTCTTGTTTATTTTTATTTGTGTTGCAGGTGCTCAGCTCCTCTGATAAGCAAGCCACTGTCATTTAAGTGCATAAATATGGAGTTGGGTGCCTACCCTTCAGGCACCCACACTTACAAGTGGTGTTTTTTGACTGTAACACCAAATACATCTTTGTTATGTCCGTTTGTATTAGTACTATAGAGGAGAGAACTGAAGTCAAGGTTATCTATAGTTAAAGCAAGGAATAGAGATGCTGGGTTCTATTCTAGCTTTGCAACTGACCAGTTACGTAATACTGGGCAAGTTACTTAGGCCACAATTTTTATAAATTACTTCTAATTGATTTATACACACTGGGTCTGGCTTTCATGAATACCGAGTTCCCACAACTCCAGTTGCAGTTGATTAGGAGCAGGCGATCTTCATCTTCTCTGAAAATAAGCCCTTCATTTCTCAGGGCAGACACCGATAATTTGAAGCACACAAAATTGTGGAAATTAAATGGAACCCTACTGCACTTCTATAAAATGATACATAGATGTTGTTCAGGAGGAATTATGTTCTTATCACTCGCCTTTCCTACTACTCTTCCTTACTGCACACTGTATCCAAAGTGTCCTAGTCTGGAAAAGTTGTCCCCTGATGATTGCTTTTCTGGAATTTACTTCTTCCCAGCTAATCCCTACCTTATAAGAATTGCCAACCCTCCATGATTGTCCTGGAATCTCCAGGAATTAAAGATTGATCTTTAAAGATTTTGTCTTTTGCTGAAATCTCCAGGAATACATCCAACCAAAGTTGGCCTACCCTTATGCCACTGAGTTAAAGTGATGTCCTGTTCAGAGTCCATTTATCAGGGGCGGCCCTAGACTAGCTGCCAGGAGCTGGCGCCCTAGGCGAACCATGCAATTGGCACCCCCACCTCCAAACCCTCAGTAATATTGCGCCACCATTTGGCGCCCCATTTAACTTGGTGCCCTAGGCAACCGCCTAGTTTGCCTATATGGATGGGGTCACTCCTGCCATTTATATAGTTAATGTGGCAGAATGAGGTATTGTTAAGAAATGTGATAACTATTAATAAGGATTTCCAGAATGCTTCAAAGTGCTCATCTGAAGTAAGAAGCATGGTCAAGACCTAGAGATCCTTGGAGTCCTGACTCCCAGAGCCCTGCCCTGATCATTAGACTCAGAGATGGGAGGCTGTTGTTGGGTTCTACTGTAATGTAAAACAACAGGCTAGTCAGAATCAAAGCCTCATTGTGCTAGGCATTGTACCTACTCATGATGCCATCATTCATTTACGAAATTAATCTTCATGTTTCTTGGAAGATGATGCCACAGAGAGATTATTTTCCACTTTGTCCTTCCCCACTATAGCCAAGATAATATTTTAACTAATTCTTATGCTAAAAATTACCTCTCCTCTTCCAAAAATCTACAGTCAAGATACAAGTGGATTTTCCATGCTTTTCACCTCTTTCAAGGGGAAAGATATGGCCTCAAATGCCCATCTTCTAACAGACCAAGGCATCTTTCCTGTTGCTTTGAAATATAAATCTTGTGCTTGTCTGCACTGAAAGAGAGGGTCCAGCTGATGGCAGTGTTGGTACATGTACCAGCTTATGGACTGTACTATAGGAAGAGCAAGTCACAGAAAATGCAATAGAATCCAAACATCCAGGGTATGCTCAAGGAACCACCAATACAAGAAATAACACAAATCCAGCTTTGCTGTTGGCAGGGGCCAACGATATTGGCTTTTTACTCCCTGGCTGTGTCTAGACTGGCCAGTTTTTCCGGAAAATCAGCCGCTTTTCTGGAAAAACTTGCCAGCTGTCTACGCTGGCCACTTGAATTTCCGCAAAAGCACTGACTTCCTACTGTAAGAAATCAGTGCTTTTTGCAGAAATACTATTCTGCTCCCATTCGGGCAAAAGTCCAAAAAAAAAAGCTTTTGCGCAAAAGGGCCAGTGTAGACAGCTCAGATTTGTTTTCCGGAAAAAAAGCCCCAATCACGAAAATGGCGATCAGGGCTTTTTTGCAGAAAAGTGCATCTAGATTGGCACGGATGCTTTTCCGCAAAAAAGTGCTTTTGTGGAAAAGCGTCCGTGCCAATCTAGATGCTCTGTGCCGAAAATGCTTTTAATGGAAAACTTTTCCATTAAAAGCATTTCTGGAAAATCATGCCAGTCTAGATGCAGCCCCTGGTTTCATAGCTAATGATGAGTTCAAGATACAAAGTGAAATTCCAAAGCAGAGGTATTAGGATATAGGATTTGGGTTCAGGAGCATTGCTAATTATCCTAGACTTGGCAGAATTTGATTTTTTTAAAATACAATTTTGAGAGCTATCAATGTTTATTTAAGGTTTTTTTTATTTTAAATCCATTTAGATTTCCATAGTTGTGCAAAATGTATGTGTTAAGCATTTTTTCAATTTTTTTTATCCATTTATATTTTCACAGTTGTGGGAACCTATGGGGGAGAGCCAGGAAGGTCAGACAATATTTATT